TGTCGTACTCACTGGGGTAGAATGGCAAGATGTCGTTCCTAGTGGAGTAATCATTGGGGTAGAATAACAAGATGTTATTCCTAGTGAGGTATAGTGTCGTGGTTGTATACACCGGGGTAGAATGACTAAGATGTCGTTCCTGGTGGAATAATTACCGGGGTAGAATAACTGAGATGTTGTTCCTGGTAGGGTATAAGTGATGTACCCATACTCCCAAAAAGGGATTGATGTTAATTGATGAGTTTTATATGAGCCATATGACATAAACATCATTGTTGTATGAAGGATGCTGATGTGTATGAATTGTTGAATTGTGAGTTATAAATGCGAATCTAGAATGAAGCAATATGAGAGGAATGATAAACATGTGTATATATGCATTGTGATATATATATCTATTGTGAATGCATATTGAATATACGTGCTGGTATGTGATGTATGATGATTGTAAATGTGAACCATGTTTTGAATATTAAGAGCGCATAATGAATATATGTGATTAATGTGATGAATGCATGAGTATGTTTGTAAACATGTGTGCATTTCAAGAGTGTCATGAGTCATGTTGCATGTGAAGCATCATGGTATACATTCTTGTGTTGATTGATTCCTCGGTGAATCTGCAGAACCTCGTGTGCCCTTGTGGGGTGTGAGCGATGGTTATTTATTGATTCCTCGGTGAATCTGCAGAACCTCGTGTGCCCTTGTGGGGTGTGAGCGATGGTTATTTATTGATTCCTCGGTGAATCTGCAGAACCTCGTGTGCCTTTGTGGGGTGTGAGCGATGGTTATTTATTGATTCCTCGGTGAATCTGCAGAACCTCGTGTGCCCTTGTGGGGTGTGAGCGATGGTTATTTATTGATCCCTCGGTGGATTTGCAGAACCTCGTATGTTGCGATGGTTATATTTGATTCCGCGTAGAATCTGCAGAACCTCGTGTGCCCATGTGGGGTGTGACCAATGGTTATTTTTGGTTCTTCAATTGAACCTGCTGAAATGAGTCGGTACCGCATTTGCATCTACATAGAGTCGTGAGTCGGTCTCTATGAGCTGCATTTATCATCTTCATATGGTGCATTGGTGAAATAAACATGAATGTGAATGTTTATGTGAATTGGTGATGAAAAGAACATATTTTGTATGTTTATATGGATTGATTGGAATCGTGGATGTACGCATGTTAAATATGCTTGATGATTATCCATAATTGTTTATATGTAGATAGCGATGTTTATGAGTGAATCGTGAATGTGTACATTGTAATGTATGTTAGTGAGTGGTAATGTATTGTGATAAGAAGTATATTATGGGTATTCTATGTTATAGAAATATATTATATGCTTTGTTATTGTGTTAATATGCATTGTGGTGAGAAAATGTGGGATATATGTATTTTGTACTTGTGCATTGATACATGATTATGTGCATTGATTATTATGGTAATGTTTCTCACCCTTCTGTTGTTTTATAATGCCCTACGAGGCATTGCAGATTAGGATTCGCTGGAGGTTTCCTTTGGAGTATAGCTCTTTTCCCTCGTGTCGGTCGCTCTGATATGTAACTTTGGGTAAATAGGCTTGTAGAATGTCTAAATGATGTTTTGTTTGTATGTGAATGAAGTTGTGAACAACCAAATGACATGTAATTAGGTTTTGTCATGTCTTAAGTGATTATATATATGTTTTAGTCTTCCGCTTTAAGAGAAAACATGAATATGTAATTTCGAAGAATCATGCATTTATTTTTAGTTGAGATTTACCCCTTTTGAGTTAATTCTTTTTAAACATTAATATTCATGTGGTCGTTTCGTGAGTATTGTGACACACTTCTTTTATACCTTAATGTAAATGCACTCTGATGAAAATAAAAATACTTGTATTCGTGACTATATGATTTGATATGTGATTATTTTGGGGTATAGAAAGGGAGCGTTACAAAATCCACAGCTGCTATGTGTTTATGTTAGGTGGTACACCAGTTGCTTGGAGTTCGAGAAAGGAGTCAGTAGTGGCATTGTCGTCACGCGAAGCAGAATACATAGTTACTTCTCTTTGTGCATGTCAAGCAAAGTGGATGGTGAATCTAGTCGAGGAAATTACAACGAAGAGTCGTGAAGCAATTACCATAAAGATCGACAGCATATCAACTATCAACCTGACAAAGAATCCAATAGCAATGGACGAAGAAAACACATCAAAATAAGATTCCATTATCTTTGAGAGCAGGTAGCAGAAGGAAAGATGAACTTGGAACACTATATAACTGAGAATCAGATTGCAGATATCATGACGAAAGGAGTGCAAGTCGAAGTGTTCAAGAAACTAAGGTCTATGATGAATGTAGATAGCTTAGACACAATGAATTAAGTGATGTGTTGATATTGTAATTCTGTGTCGAAACAGTGTAGCTCGACAGAAACAAGGATTAGTCGAATTAGCCTAATGTGTGTGTGTCGAGTTGTTTAGATATCGAAGTGTCAAAGCAGGTTGTTTGACACATAATTTCAACTTAGATCAAAATAGTAATTTTGCACTTTTGTAATTTTGGGTTTTCTTCTATTATAAATAAAGAGAGTAATCCTTATTTTGTAATAACTTGTATTCACATATTTTTTACAGTTGCAAATTGAATAAAGATGTTTTCCACATTTTGTGGCCATAGATTCCGTAGTTGAAAATTCATTCTCTTCTTCCTTTAATTTTGTTAAACTTTTTCTTTCTTTCTCGTTTTTCATTAATAGTTGATGCACATAATCTTTCTTGAAATCAAGATTGATTAAGAATTCTCAAAAAAATTTAGATTAATTCCAACATCACATAGTCTTATTTTTGCCAAATCATAATTAGCACATCTTTCTTGAGTTCTATTTTTAGAGTGATTATGATAGACATGAAAATATGAAAAGTGTTAGGTTAAATCAGTTTAGTTGATAATTATAATATTGGTTTAAATTCGCAACACTTCACATATTCATTAAATTTCATTCACAAAACTATTTGACAAATATATATATATATATATATATATATATATATATATATATATATATATATATATATATATATATATATATATATATATATATATATATATATATATATATATATATATATATATATATATATATATATATATATATAAGTTTTGTTAATTACTCACATTTTATTGAATCATGAAATCATTCATAGAAATATGAAAATAAAATTGTCAATTAGTAACTCATTTAAAACCCTTTATATAATATAACCATTTTATTTGGTCTTTATAGACTCAATTATTTTAAAATTATTTGAATAATTTTTAAAAAGAAACTCCAAATCAATTTTTGACGTGTCATCATTTTATAAGTCACATAATTTTATTTTACAAAATCATTTAAATTATGAGTTAGCACCTCTTTCTTCATTTCTATTTAGCATGATTATCGTAGGCATAAAAATATATATAAAAAAGGTTTTGTCAATTATTTACACATTTTATTGACTCAAAATCATTTAATATAATTTGAATAATTTATTAAAAGAAACTCTAAATCAATTTTTTAATATCTCATCATTTTATAAACCACGTAGTCTTATTTTTGCCACATAATTTAAAATTGTTATTTGCACCTCTTTTTCATTTTCATTTCTATTTTTAACGTGATTATTGCAGGCAGAGAAATATGAAATTTATTTTCTGTCAATTACTCACATATTTAAAGCTCTTGATGTAAAATAAAGGTTTTATTTAGTTTTTATTGACTCAAAATGATTTTAATACCAATTTGAATAATTTATTCAAAGAAAATCTAAACCAATTTTTTAACATCTCATCATTTTATAAGACACACAGCTTTGTTTTTGCCACATCATTTAAATTTTGAGTTGCCATCTCTTTGTTTATTTTTATATTTTAGCGTGACTATTGTAGGCATAGAAATATGAAATATTTTTGTCAATTACTAACACATTTAAAACTCTTGATGTAATAATAACTGTTTTATTAACAAACATCGAGGAATTATTTAAAGAGGGTGGTGCGTTTTGGAATAATCTTAGTTACTTAAGTTTTACAAGTATGACTTGGGATCATGGTAACTCATTAGTTATTAAGGTTGAAGCTTTGACACTTAAAAGAATCTATTCAAATAAATGTTGACTTGCATTTAGAAAGAGTCATTTTTAAAAGTGACTCACAAAGATTAATTCAAACTATTCATTCTAATCTTACGGGTGATTCTGAGTTCCACTATATTATTAGATTTATTATTTGTATGTTAAATATTAATCATAACTTTGAGGTGAAGTTTGTAAAGCATCAAGTAAATGTGGTTGGCCACTCTCTTACTAGGGCGACCAATTCTTAGTCTAGGCGCATAATGTTTAATTCGGTTCCTCCTTGTATTGAACATTTTATTATGAATGAAATACAATAAGTATCCTTTTATATAAAATTTTTTTTTAATAATTTATTAAAAGAGATTATAAATAAGTTTTTTTACATCTCATCATTTTATAAGCCACATAATCTTATTTTTTCACATAATTGACTCGTGTTTTCTTTTTTAGCGTAACTCTGTAAGCATAAAAATATAAAATTTGTTTATCAATTACTTACACATTTAAAGCTTTTGATGTAATATAACCGTTTTATCCGGCTTTTATTAACTCAAAATTACTGTAATATCATTTGAATGATTTATTAAGAGAGGTTTTTTTTTATCGAAACAAGCTCAATGCAATTCATTAATCAGAAAATGTTCAATACAAGAAGAAATCGATTTAAATGTAACATGCCTATACCAAGAATCGACCTCCCATGCAAGAGAATGGGCAACCATATTCACTTGACGCTTAATAAACTTTACCTCAAAGTTTGGTTAACCAGATAACAAAGTTTTAATAGAATTGATGATAAAATTAAACTCATATCCACCATTGTGATTGACATGAATGGCATGGACTACACTTTGGGAGTCCCTTTCAAAAATAACATTTATCATTTGGAAGTTGATAGCTCATTGGTTTGCCTCTTTTAGAGGCAAAGCTTCAGATTTAATAACGGTTAGTATCCTAGGATCCCAAGCCACCCCTTCAATAATGAAACTCCCAAGGTTATCGCGCACACACCAACCTTTATTAGTAGTACCTCGATGGTTATTAAAAGCCGCATCCACGTTACATTTCAACCAACCTTCCTTTGGCGGATCCCAATTCATAGGATAACGCTGGCCATTTCCGGAATCTTGATCTTTTTGATCCATAAACTAATCCTGCCTCTTATGAAAAGCTAATCATGCTAATTTAGGGGCTTCCTCATTCTCATTATGTTAAATAAGATCATTCATATTCTTCCAAATCTCATCCAACATAACTGCAAATCTTCCAGCATCTTTCCTATCCTCCTTGCTACAAATATCATGGATAAGTGACTTAGCATCATTAAAAGAATGTAAACGAGCACTATAAGAGTGGAAAAATCTGCTGCCCTCTAACACTAGTTTATCACATTACAACCAAAAAACATATACCAATTATTTTCAAGTTCATACTCACAAAACTGACAAGAAAACGGGCAAGGAACATGATGTCGATGGAGTCTAACACGTGTCGGTAAACAACCCTTACAAATTATCCAAAAAAGGTGCTTGACTCTATGGGGCTTTGATATTCTAGAGGCTACACCAATTCTATTCCTCTCTCCCACTCTCATGCCTCATATGAGAGCTTCTCTACAACCTATAACCAACCGCACACTATAGGCACCATTTTGTTCTTCCTTCCAAATCTACCTATCCTTCTTCACATCCTCCAATAAAGGCACCTGTAAAATTTCTTCAGCATCTGCACAGTTAAACAAATCCCTTATAACCATCATATCCCATTGTTTCACATTAGTCAATATAAGATTCCTAACAGTAATACCACACACACCTTGCTTCTAGGGACCGCTTAGACACCTTCCCTCTTTCCCCGAATCCAAGATTCATTCATTACCATCATATGGCTACCGTCTCCAACACACCATCTACACCCTAAGGTCAAAACTTCCTTCGCCTTCCAAATACTCCTCCACACAAAACTAGGATTATAACCAAGATTAGCATCAAAATAAGACGTTCTAGGATAATACCTTACTTTGAATATTCTTGAAACAAGAGCATATGGTTTTGTCAAGAGCTTCCAACCTTGTTTAGCCACCATGGACATGTTGAAGGCTTTAAAGTCTCGAAACCCTAATCCTCATTCCTTTTTAGTACTAGCAAGCTTTTCCCAAGACAACCAATGAATTCCCTTATTATTATAACCTCCTCCCACCAGAATGAATTAAGCATCCTCTCAATATCATTACACACTGCATCAGGTAGACTAAAAATACTCATAATATATGTCGGAATAGCTTGAAGGACCGATTTTATCATGACTTCTTTCTCTGCTTTTGGTAATGACCGCCCTTTCCAAGAGTTAATTCTCTTCCATATACGATCTTTGATGAATGAGAAAGTTTACTTCTTGCTCCTACCAATCATAGAAGGTAAACCTAAATACTTCCCAGTTCCCATCACATGGAGAACTCCCATTATTCCAGCAAGATCCTCCTTAGCCGGACTGCTGAGGTTACAGCTAAAGAACACTTCAGGTTTAGTCAAACTAATCTCCTGCCTTGAAGCATGTGCACAAATTTTGATTACCCTCATAAGATATCGAACTTCTAAAAGATTTGCCCTGCAAAATAAAAAGCAATCATCAGCAAAAAGAAGGTGGGACACGCTGGGTGCCCCTCTGCAGGTTTGGATCCCATGAATATTGCCACTAGCCACTGCTCCCTTAATGAGAGCTGAAAGACCTTCTGAGAATAGAAAAAAGAGGTAAGGTGATAGAGGATCCCCTTGCCTCAGTCCTCTTCCTGATTCAATAGGTCCGGCCCTTTCTGAGTTAGCAAGAATAGTATAGTGCCTCGAAGTAACACACATCATCATCCAATGAATCCACCTATCAGCAAAAGCTATCCTAGAGAGAATACCTCTTAAGAAGCCCCAACCCACTCTATCATACACCTTACTAATATCGAACTTGAGAGATAAATGAGCCTTACTACCTTTAGTCATGTGCTTGAGATCATGGATGACCTCTATAGCAATCATCACATTATCTAGAATAGATCGACCCTCCACAAGCGTCGATTTCTCCTATGCCACATATTTATCTAACATAATCTTCAATCTATTAGCAAGGGCTTTAAACACAAGTTTGTAGATCATGTTACATAATGAAATAAGGCAAAAATCCTTCATGTCATGAGGATTAGTACTCTTAGGAATCAAACATATGTTAGTATCATTTAATGGTGGCGGAAAGAAACCCTTCTCCAACCAAATCGTGGTAGCCTCCAAGATATCTTTACTACACAAATCCAAAAAGTTCTGATAGAAAGCTGGATTAAAACCTTTCGGGCCCGACGATTTACTATGGTGCATTTCACATAAAGCAGCAAACAATTCTTCTTTAAGTAAAGGGGATGTTAGTTTGGTATTATCTTCCACAGAGATCTTTGTTTGAATAAGATTAAGCACATGTTCATATTCACTTTGCTTGGCTGCATATAAATTTTCAAAATAACTTTTAGCATTAGTGCACAACCCGACCTGCTCACGAACCTTGACACCTCCATCCTGAAACAACATCGATATTATTTGGAAATTCTTTCTAATCGTGGCAGATAAATGAAAATAATCCGTATTGAGATCCCCGTCTCGTAACCAATGTGTAATACCCCAAATTTTGCCCTAAGATTAGTCGTTTCATCTTGCATTGCGTTTAAACTAACCACTAACGGGTTGTGCAGTTGTTTGATTGTTGCAAGAAAATATCATGTGGCGCGCTCTTTTGGTTTACAGGGTTTCTAGTGCCATTTTATTTTGAATGAATAAAATAGCACAATTGGCAAGAAACTGTGTGTAAGGAGTTGTGAGTGTGAGAGGTCGAGAGTTCGAATCCCACCTTTCTTCATTTTTTGTTTTTTTCTTATATTTTTATTCTAACTTTTCTATTTTCATAAAAAAAAATAGTTTTTTTATTATTTAATTATTATTTTCGTATTTTATTTAAATTATTTTTTAAAAAATATTATTTTTTCACTTTTTTCCATATTATTCATAAAAACATCCAAAAATCATAAAATTAAAAAATATTAGAAAAGATTTTATTCTTTTTATAATATTTTTAATGTTTAGTAAATAAATAGGGTTTTAAGTTTGTTTTAATTTGTTTAAATTGTATTTAGTTTTGACTAATTATTTAAGTTGAGCTTTAAAGTGGACATTAGGTTAGAGTTAACCCTAATTTGTTACCTATATAAACATGAGTTGTATTTGAGAAAGGGGGGAAGGAGACAAAAGAGAAAAACGGCGGCCGTTCTCACGACTTATCAGAAGAGGAGAGATTTTTGAAAAAAAAACCATCATCGTTCATCATCAATGAACTCCATCATAGAAAAGCCACTTCAAACCCGTGAAAGGTGAGTAACTCTTGTTTCGAACGGATGTTTTCTTTTGATGTTTTTTTTGCAGGAAAAGAAGAAGGGATCGTGGCCATGCAAAGAAGAAGAAAAAGCTTCAACAGGCAACAAGGGCAGCGGCGCCGCATGCAGCAGTAACCATAACCCAACCCAAATTTTGTTTTCCCTTTTGTTGTTTTAGTAGCACATTTATTTTTAATTGAAAATTCTGTTTTAAAAATAAGTGAAAGTTCTATTTTTATAAAACAAATTAAAAACTTTTTCTTAAAAGCTTTTCTAAAATAAAAACTTTTTTAAATAATAAAATAAAAACCTTTTTTTTTTAAAATATAAATTAAAACTTTGTTTTTTTTAAGTATAAAACTTTTTTAAAAAAATTGATAAACATTTTTAAAAATATTAAAGTTAAAACTTTCTTCCTCACAAAATAATAATTAAATTTTGTTTTTTTTCTAAAATATTAAAATTAGAGTTTTGTTAAAATTTAAAACTAAAACAAAATTTTAAAACTTAAACTAAACCTTTTTTAAACTAAGATTAAAATTCTTTTCTTCAAAATTAAAACTAAAATCCTTTTTCAAAACTAATAAAACAATAATAAAAATTCCAAATTGCAGTTTGTCTTTCTTTCAATACTAACTGTTCCATTTTTTGCCATATTTCTGTCTAACCCTTCTCACAAATGTTCTCTGTTTTTCTCCTCAGACTATACTTAAATTCTGATTAGTTTATTCAATTTATGTTGGTCCATGATGTAATTTACGCGAGGCCATGGTCGCGGTTTTATTTTATTTTCCTTTTTTTGGGGTTTGTAATTTACGCGAGTGATCGTCGCGACGCTTTCTTTACTTTCCGCACTTTAATTTCCGCCATATAATAATTTGCCATGTTTTGCATGTTTTACCGCTATTTTTCCTTTCGAATGATTAGGTCTAGCCGTTTGACCGCCGAGTCAATAACCCTAATTTTTGACCCTTTCAAACCCTATTAGCCTAGGCGTCCCGCCATGGACGAAAACGCTCTTTATCCTAGCTTTTAGGTTAAAGAGTCGTCGTACTCTGTTTTAGGGTTTCCCGCCGTGGAATCCCTAATTTTCAATTCAACTTTTCAACATAGAAATAGGAGTTTAGAAACTCCACGTAAGCGTTTCCTTAAGAAATGCTTATTCCCCATTGAAACCTTGACCACAGTCAAGATGTTTCTAACCTCCCTTTCAAGGGGAACTACGATTACTCTGATTCCATTCCCTATCCAGGATACATAGGCACAAGATGCGACGTCTTGCCGAGTAAACTTAGGACTAACCCTTAGGTCTTTAGGTCACTTTATCCCTTAGCTCAGTATATATACATCAAGCAGATAATAAAATAAACAAGGAATACAGTAAACGAAAGGTTCCTGTAGGGTATTACAGAAGTTTAGGGTGCTAGTACCTTCCCTAAGCTTAACCAACCCCTTACCTAGGTCTCTCCCCGCATTGTGTTTACGATGCAAAAATAGGTTTTCTCTCTTTTGACCTTTTCCTTCGGATAAATCAAATAGCGGTTGTGAATCAAGAATTGTGATTCAAACTAATTAATAGTTTGATATCCTATTTCCACCGCAACAGAAAATGGCGACTTCACTGGGGACCGCCATATTTTTTAAGGGTTATCCCTATTTTGTTTATTGTATGATATTTTTCATTATTTATTCTCTTGTATATATTATTATTGTGCCTTGCTTAGGGGTACCTTGTTATTGTGA